ACAACATATTGGTTTTTCTCAGTTGATTTGTACAAATGGCCACCTAAATATATTCTCTATATACACTGCACACTGAAGTTATTAACTACAAGTGAATAATGCACAGAGTTCATCCAGCCAATAGCAATGTCACACATCTTTTATTTGTTTTATTAGTTTATATTCCAGGCACAGGGATGTGTCTGACATAAGTAGGACATTATCTGCAGTCCCAGGCTCAGTGTCACACTATGCTCTGAACTCTTCACTAGGTTTCACACTATCCAGTCATAGCTTTTTGCTTTTTGTCAGTATTGATTTATTAGAATAGGTCTAGTGATTACTGATCCATTGATCATATTCTTTGTGGTTGCCATACATGCCGTCAGCTGTCTGACCTTTTTAAGACTGGAATGTTGCTGCTCACTTACATTTGGAGTCCAGAAGAATTCAGTTTTGAAGTTGCAAACCTTGATCAGGGGCCATGGAGCAAGAAATTGAAACTCCAACTCAGATATTAATTCACTGGATTACACTTTCAGTATATCAAACCTTGATACAGAAAAGAAAAAGAATTCTCTAAAGAACCCATTTCCTCTTAGAAAAGAACTTTTAAAACCTCTATTAGCTCTGTCCGTTTGAACTTTCAGACATCAGGATTCCAAACTGCCTCCCTGATTGACTGCTTCCATTAACAGTGTGACTTGGAGTCCATTTTGGCCTTTACAGAAGCCTAAGCCGCCTCAGACATCTCTGTGACGGTGATCAGGCAGTGGAAGCACTGGATGAGGGACATTTATTTATTTCAGTGAAGTTTAGTTGCCATCAGATTTTCTTATCTCTGCTGTTAAAGTAAGATGCATATGAGCTCTCACATCTGTAATACCAGGTATCAGTCCTAGTTGCGATCATTCTTTGGACTAGGACAGTAAACTGTTTAAAACAGTGGCTGGGGCATATTAAAATCCACCTGTCTCCTACTAAGTAGAGTTTTAGAGTTGAAAATGATTACGAAAAACAGCATGAACCAGCATTTGTTTGGCGGTTGGAGTTAATTTCATGTCCTTTTTTGACTAAAGAAAAGCTAGTTGGCCACTCGAGTGTGTCTGCACATTAAACGAGCTTCCCTATGTTTTAAGAGACCGGATCCCATGGGTGAGACGGAGTTTTTCTTCATCTGACACCCAGGCTGGAAAAGGTTTTAAGAGCCCATCATCCAGAGAGTTAAGTGTGGGTGGTGAGGATTTCGTCTGTCCACTGGCTGGCTGAAAGCTTTAGGATACAGCTGGCTTTCTGGGACTGTAATTGTAAAAGGAAAGACAGGCATTCTGTCAAACTGGGCAGAAATCAGAGCACTAGAGATGCAGTAGATTGTATGTTTATGTTGTACAGGCACCTTTTCTCTCCCTTCTTTTTTCAATCAAATGACTTAGCCTCAAGAGAGAGCATGAAAACCTGTGCACGTACCCTCAATCTAGCACTCACTCCTAAAGGGGCTGAGTAAGCCATATGCTGCAATCCTTCCATCATATTTCTGTTTTTCATGGAGGGACAGTTTGTATTAAGCACTTTAATACTTGTGGAAAAGCTCAGGGGGCAAGTAGACTAACTGCTGTGTATCAGCACAGTCTCAGTTTGCAAGCTAGGGGCTAGATGCAGGATCTGTACAAAAACAGTGCTCTATCTACCAGGCCTATCTAATTATAGACAAGGCTGTACTTGGATTGTTCCTGTTGAAGTCTCTGCAGCTGTAGACAACATGCAGACAGAAGGCCGGCAGAAGAATGACAAGGTAGAGGAAAGAAAGGTAAAAATGAAAATGTTAGAAAATGAGGATTGATAGAGTCAAAGCAGAGATGAAATTGCAATGAAACTTTGTGTCTGTCGTAGTGTTAGCTGAGATCACAGTATTACCCGATAGGGTGTAGACAGGTGAAGTGTATGCCAATTTAACAACAAACTTTCAATTAGCAGGGATTGTTTTTATCAGCAGATTACAGTTTTTCTGTTTCCTACTCTCGAATCGACCTGACTTCACGAAAATGACATTTATGTATTTCTGGTCTCACTACATTGTGAACCTTTCAGTCAGATGCACTGCAAGCCACTCTGTTACATCGTACCTCACAAACCAAACTGTTTATAGCCTGAATTATTTTTTAAGTTAGTGCCACAGTGTTTTTGAGAAACTGTGTTTTCTTTGTTTTCTATTTATGTCCTGACATAAACCTAGTCACCTTGTGCCGTTAAATGTCGGGATGCTGCATCGCTTTAGATGATTGAATCTTTGCTCCACTGAAAATCAAATACAAGTATTAGTTATAATACGTATATCTAAGTATTATAAGTATTAGTGTGGTCAGACAAAGTTGCCACATGCTGATGGAAGACTTCACGCCACTATTGCTTTTTTCTATTTTAACTAGAGCTGCAAAAATTTAACAGTTACTTCTCATCTGCTAAATTCATTAAATATTTTGACATTTCATAAACTGATCTGAGAAAATTTCTCAGAAAAAAGTCAAGATTCTCAGATTCCAGCCTCTTGAAGAGAATATTTTCTGGTTTCTGTCCTCCCTTATGACAGTTAATTGAATACTTTAGGCGATCTTGAGTGCAAGATCTTGGGCTTTGGAAAACACTGATTATTTTTCACCATTTTGTACCATTTTCTAGATCACACAACTCAGCAAGTAATTGCTAATATAAACAACAGATTTATTAACTGTAAGAGCAGTCTGTTGATATCACATCATCAGTACCTACAGCTGGCTGCTGCTTGCTAGCTGTGCTACTGATGTTGTCAGTGATTTGAAGGGCACCTTAGTATCTCTTCTCTTTCATGCTGTTACAACTTAAGTCCCAGTCTTTCAGCTTGGCATAGAAGTTGTTCTGCAGTTCTTAATGCTGATAATATTTCATCAGCTTACCTCGATGGAATTGCAACTTTCAAAATCTTTTCTGTGCTGTAACTTTGTTGTGGTATAGGTATAACATCCAACTTTGTTAAATGCTCTAAGTTTAAGCTTGTGTGATGTTGATGGCAGGTCAACCACCACCATTTTCTTTAAAAACAACACCAAGCACTGACTGATGTTATGTTTTTTGGTTTTTGTTTTATTCTGTCCAGCATTTTGAATAGCTTATACATCTCTCTGCTCCTAATCCTTGACCATCCCGAGTGCACATGCCCTTCAATTTACCCAAAAAGAAGAATGTGTTTCAGTGTCTTTGCTCGGGGTTGGAGGCATGCTAAAACGATCATTTGAAATTGTGACCTGACTTTGGTTCCCTAAATCATATTATCAATTTACTGAAACACAATGAGGACAGTCATGGTGTAAATGTGTTAAGGCAACGGGCCATAAAACATTTGATTCTCAACTAGAAAACACAAGTGCTGTATTAAAACGGAAAAAAATAGTTACCCAATCCTCGATTTCTTTTCCTGTAGTTTGGCTTTTTAGTTGTATCAAAAGGTTCTTAAGTCATTGTCACACATGTAGATTAATAAGCTTTGTCTGGACAGAGGAAAAATGTGTATGCATTGGTGCTTATAAGCTCTGGACCTTTTGTTGTTGAATGGAACTGGAATTCATATGTTATGAAAAATGAGAAATAGGTTAGTACTGGCAAAGATCAAGAGAGGTATTTTGTACTGTAAAATGACATGCCACGGTGAGGTAGTTACTCTGTGGACACTAAAAGTAACTCAATAAGAACACTTCAGTTTTAACTCATTGCAGTGTCTGATATCCCAGAGGAGACCCCAGCACCTGTGTTTATGTATGTTGCTCATGCTGTTGCATCGCAGTTGCTTCCAGTAGACTAATTTATTTGTACATGGTGCATTTGAGCTAGGGCCCACCCGATTTATCAGCTGGCCAGTTAAATCGACCGATTATAGCCCTTTTCAAAATAATCATCATTGGCCGGAATTTTGCCGATTAAACACCGATGTATTCTTAATTTCTCATAAAACAGTAAGTGCTGTTAAGTGTCACAGTCACGCAGAATGATATTGTTGTGCCGTTTGTCCACTAGAGAGAGCTCTGACTCCGTTCAGTCCTCAGCGCTGTCTTCTCATTAGTACAGGAGTAAGCTACATACAGGCAGCATCACAGGAGTGGGCTGAGCGGAGCTACTAACAGATAAATTCATAACGACGTTGTGACATGAACAGTGACTCAACATGTCTGTGTGTTGAGGCGCATTAAGGAGGAGCAGAGGGGAGGAGGTTTATTCAGTGCAGGCCCGACAAGTCAACATGATGAACATTGCTGTCTGTCTTCAGCAACCGTCATGATGTCATGTCACTCTTAGTTTTACTTGGTCAGAAAATACTAGAAGGTGACACAGGCTGTAACAGCAACTCACTGTGTTGTTAAACACATCATAATGTTGGTTGATTTTTTAAAAAAAATTTTTCTACTTTTTGTCTACGTTGAATTGGACTATGACCTTCCTTTTAAAGAAGACCTGGTTGGGTTGCTTCAATTCAAAGTATGATTTTTACTGGCTTAACCAAACCAAATGGGCTTGTTTTGAATTGAACTAAAGAGAAGGTCCAATGTAATCAAAACATGGGCTGATAAAAATCATCATTATGACTCATTTCAGTAACAAAACAGAAGGGCCCATAGAAATCCCTGTCCTCTGCCAAGACAAATGCCTTACCTCACAATTTGGATCTGCACCTTTGTCTGTGCTCCACCTCTCCACCAAGTTTCATGAGATTCAGTACAGTAGTTTTTCCATGAAACAGCACTGAAAACATACCTCTGCCTTGGCTTTTCCTTGGTGGAGAAATAAATTAATCAAGTAATGGAATTATTTTATTTTGAAAGTTAGTTGGTTTGACTGAGGCTGATTGGGAGTTTTGCTTAGACATAAGGCTAGAGTGACGCTTGTTGTTTTCGCTAAGACTCTTCATGTCCTCTGTAGCAGTTTTTCTTGGTTTTAGAGATGTACATTGTCTAACAGCACTCTCTTTCTCTGTCTGGTTGAATATTGCAGGTTCAACTACAGGTCGACTCACCACCTCACCACCAATGGCTTCTATGAGTTCCTGAACTGGTTTGATGAAAGAGCCTGGTACCCTCTGGGCAGGATAGTAGGGGGCACAGTAAGTATTTCTGCCTCAGCTTCAGCCTTTCTTTGTCCTTATTTCTCAAATGTCACATTACTATGATGAGTCTTCCATCATCATCAACTCACTTTCAGCTACACAGTCTTAGACACACACATGCATACTAGTACGTATGGATGGATAGTTAAACAGCTCCAATGGGAAGCAGGGCGCTAGTAGGAGCACTCATACAACACAGAGTAGATCTGTCTTCATAACAGCTAAAGGACAGACAGACTGGGGTCACTTTTAACACATCATTACACTACAACTCATCTTTGAGAGCTTATCTCCTCCTCCTCTGTGTATTCATACCCTCTGTGTGATTTCTCTTTATGGGTTGTAGGCTAATCTGTTCCCTTGAGTGCACTTTAGTACATTCACATTAGCTGACAAAACAGCAGCTTAAATATGTTGCATTTGCATTGTATGATGCTGGAAAGAAGGAAGGTTTGTTCAGCTGAGTTTGTTAAACAAATCATCTGGTGAACAAACTATACTGTTGTGCTCGTGCATGTTAAAATACTGTGTTAAAAATGTCTTGGCATTAATATAACAGTAGTATTTAGTTAGCAGAAGCAAACCATAGGGGGTGTTCAGGTTTGAGCTGGTAGCGCTGGAGCTGGTAATATTAACAGCAGTAGAATCACCAAGGGGCCATTTTTACCTCATAGAAAACCACAGTATAATGCAGCATCAACACTAACGCCACACCTGGTTTAACTAGCAATGCTTTTTGTTTAGACATCTTCTGATAAGCAGAACATCCTATCACAAGCCAAAGATAGCTAGATTTGATTGATGGACTAGACAAACACATAGATATGCTATGAGACTGGAGTGAGATAAAAGATAAACAAGTATTTCTGGCTTAAAAGGATGGGGTGTTCAGCAGGGTACAAGAGGACAGAGTAGATGACTGAATGCTGAAGAACCAGGTTGGTGACTGCTGCGCAGAACAGAGGTAGAACCGTAGCTGAGCAGGAGCCTAATCCAAACAGGTCAAGTGCTGAAAATGCCAGTAGAGATGATCAGGAGAGAAGACGAAGGATTGGATAATGCGGCCAGAATAGAAGTTCGATCTGGCAAGGTGTAGTGGCAGAGTTGAGTCTTGATTACAAGATGGAATGGAGGTGGATCTGGTCTGACCCTGACATACCTGTGTCTTAAAATGCTGGCTGTTGACCTATTCCATCTGTAGGCTTATAAAATAGCCTAAAATGAATAATATGCACTTTTCTTTCTTTATTGTTCCACAGTCTGTCTAAAGCAACAGGTTATCCAAGATTAGTTTGCTTAATATTTTTCTCCCATATGATTGAAATATATTACTATGTATGTTGTTTGTTTGTAGCCATAGTTTCATTATGAATTTCAAAATATATTTGACTAATGTGATCTGTTTGCCATAGTTTAAGTTGTTGCAGCAAGGGTTAAAAATGATCCTTATGTGGTTGTAGTGGTGATGATGTACTAGCTAGGCTTGAACTTGGAGAACTGAACTCTCCACAGAGGCCATTGCCAGTGCCCTGTCTCACAGTTTTACAGAACGTTACAAAATGTAATTCTTTCTTTGTCCATGTTCCACCTCTCCACCAAGTTTGATGAAATTCATCCTCATAGTTTGTGTGTACCTCTGCTGACAAACTCCCAGTTGTTGTAAGTCTTCATTTGTACTGTCTAGATCTGTTTGCCTCTGCTCTGATGATATCCTAAATATGAAGAAAAATGTATAGAAATGTATATAAAAGTATGATTAATTTGTTTGCAAACAACAAGCTACTTGATTGTTTTGTGTGTTGAAAATACAGCACCATTTGCTGTCATCGGCACTTTGGTAATGTAATGACACAGGATGGCACCTTCTCTGTCTGCAAACTCTGAGCTAGCAACCAGCTTGTAATCAATTTTTTTCCCCTCCTGTTAAATTGCTCATTTAAACTGTGAATCATGGCATTTTTCAGTCACAGAAGCGAAAAGATGCCTAAAGCAGCATTTTCAGTTGCTGAGAGTTCTTGCTTGCTTGTCAATATTTGTGCTCTTCTCATCACATCAAATATGTATTGCATTGGGAAAGAGGAACAATTTACCTTTTCTGTCAATTCAGACTTGACATTTTGAATGTATTAAAAAAAAGAAAAGCTCTGTGTTGCTTGCCTGAAGAGAGTCTGAATCCTTTCTGACATTCACCCCTGTTTCCCCTTTCCTTGCAGGTTTACCCAGGCCTTATGGTCACAGCGGGCCTTATCCACTATGTGCTCAACCTGCTGCACATTACTGTCCACATCCGAGACGTGTGTGTGTTCCTTGCCCCAGTGTTCAGCGGCCTGACCTCCATCTCCACCTTTCTGCTGACAAGGGAGCTGTGGAACCAGGGAGCGGGGCTGCTGGCAGCCTGCTTCATCGCCATCGTCCCCGGCTACATCTCTCGCTCCGTGGCTGGCTCCTTTGACAATGAAGGCATTGCTATCTTTGCCCTGCAGTTCACCTATTACCTCTGGGTATGCCCATACATACTTTATCAGTCTTTCTATAGTCTCGTCCCTCCATTATGCAGCTATGATATTTGTAACAGTTTGTACTGCTGCTTCAACTGGCTGCTCTTTGTCTGGAGTTGGGGAACAAATTAGATTGTCAGACTGCAACACAAATCTGATATCTTTTGCTACAATTACGTTAAGTTGCACTAATCAATATTTTTAAATTTACAATAAATCAAAAGACTCGAGGTGACAGGAGAATACACACCCAACTTGGTATTGCCCTAGCCCCACGATCTGACTGAATTACCTTTTATCTCAATTCACTATTTGATCTGACATCCTAGGGGTTTTCTGCTGGGCACTGGTTGCTTTCGCCCAGTGACAAATGTGTCCCTTCAAAGACAGAGTAGCTGCTGTAGTGGATAGAAGCAATTAACTAAAAAAAAAAAAAAAAGAAAGAGAAAAAAGGGGGGACTAAATTTTGGAATTGTTGTTGCTGTTAGTTGACTGACAACAACTTTCATGTTGTAGCTGCATTGATCTCATCCGCGCTAGTTACCACATTTGCAGCATTTTCTCTGGCACCGGCACAAGGAAATCAAAAGTCGCCTTTCTCCGCCCTGTCTACAAAGCTGTGACTGGTGTGGATTTTTGTTTGTTAGTTTTTTTTTTTTCCTCCAAATAGGGAATAGGTGTTATTAAGCTGCCATTGAACAATAAGCCTGTGGGTTGATGTAGAGACATATTCCTGGAACCTCAGAAGCAGTGTCCTTCAGCACCTTTTAGAATGTGTAAGCTGTAGTTTAGCCTTACCAGCTTCCAAATATTTTCTCCCATTAACCTCACCTCAGAAAGCTCTAAATAACATCTAGGTAAACTCCAAAATGTGGACAGCTGGTGAACATTGTGGAACATTTAGCACCTAAAAATGTTGCTCTGTATCAGCTGGATGTTGAATTGGGCAGCACATTGCAAACACATTTGCTGAAATGAAGTAAAAATATGTCAGGTGTGTTTTCAGTTTGTTTTAAAGCGTCTAATTAACCAAAATATCTTTTAGACAACAACCAGTGTGTATTTCATAAAATACGCTAATGTTGACTTTTTCCTTTAAACACAGATTGAAGCATGTATCTGCTTCATGTATCATGTATCGACAATTTATTCATCATATTGGTTTCCAGTGATTTGGTCATGTGAGCATATGGACTAATGTTAATTGTTGTTGCGATTTAAAGAAAAAATCCCAGTGATGACGCCCAGGAGTCACTGTTAATTGGTGGTATGGATAGATGTTAGTATAGTACAGTATAACCAGATCTGATTTCTGTTCCATGCTTTTAACAGGTCCTAAATCATTTCCCCATGAATAAATCACACATATACATATACCCACAGTGCATCAAGCTCTTACTAGATCTGAGCTCTGCCCTGACTGAAATACAGAATAATTTAAATGACAGAACCTGCCCCCACATTTATAGTCTTGCTGCCCTTCTCTGTCACTCTTCCTCAACTTTCAGCCTTTCTCTTCTCTGCTTCCATTCACCACAACTCATTGGCTCAGCTCTTCTATCCATCCAGCCAATTGCAGCAGCTCCCATCTGAGCCTTCATTAAGTCAGGCCTCGTTAGCCTTGTTAAGCCATTGTTAGCAGCTGCTGGGCACTGCGCTTAGGAAGGTAAAGATGTGTAGGACACAGTGCTCTGCTTTGTGTAGGTCATTAAAGAAGGAAACACAATGAATAATTCAGATAGTCAAGTTGGGCAAGCAGCAACTGAACAAAGTCCTCAAGGAAATATCGGTGTACAGAGGAGCTTAGCTTAATGGAAGCCGATGATGTTGAATTGGCTGTGTGTGTGCGCGTGCATGGGGTTAATGCTGTACTGTGTAAACTGCAGGTGAAGTCTGTGAAGACGGGATCTGTCTTCTGGGCCATCGGATGCTGTCTTTCCTACTTCTACATGGTAAGAACACACACAAAAATAGTTTCTGTTATACTTGTTAGCATGTGTGTTGTAATGTGACTATAAACCACACATCTAAACTTGTATTTATCCTAACTGGCAAAAAAATGGCCACTTTTTGTTTCCCAAACTGAAAAGAGTTGCCAGGAAGTTTATTTTTTTCCCCAACAGTTGTTACAATGTTATGGAAATAGCTTGTGGATTTATTAATTTTATAATTTATTCATTTGGTCATAACGTGGATGTACACTATATATGTATATATTGTATCTTATGTTTGTCAAGTAGGTCACTTTACAAAAAAATATTTTCCTGACATGCAAGAAACAATAGATGAAGTAGGAGGCCAAGTTGGACAGTCCTCTTTAGCACCATTTCAGCATGCACAGTACTGCGCTGAAAGCAAGATGCACTGAACGATGTGATTGGATGTGGCTGACGAGGATGTGTCATACAACTAGGCTACAAAGTCAGATTCATCCAATCCATTACATTGCCTCCCTATTTTTAATTACAGCCTAGTGCAAGTGGTTTATTGCTCAATCATTTTTAAATTATATCTTTTTTTTCTTTTTTACATTTTCTCAATGCACAAAGTCTGCACATTAATAAGCATCGCTCTTTTTTAATTGCTGTCTCATGTTCTCTTCGGAGTGGTCCTTCTCCTTATTGAAAGTAACTGTAAGAGGAAAAGAAATTACTATTAAGTCCCACTGTGAGTATTTGGAGTCCAAGGTTCATTTCCAATGCAATTTCTAAGAGTGATTCTGAGACTTGATAAATTCAGGCCCTGAGCCATAAACTAGAGGGAGAGCAACTTGTAGATTGCACAGTCACTTTAAAACACTGAAGTAGCCAAAAATGATTGCTATGAAACTCAGATCCTTTGCAGATAGAAATGACATTGAGCAGTTATGACGTCCATCAAACTTTGTTGTACTCGAACCAACAGGAGCCATTTTCATCAGACAAAGACTAGATGAGATCTTTTGGGAAACCCTTTCCCTCACCCATCTATCATTCAGCCAGGCTGTGATGAATCCTTCTTGTACTGTAAACTATGCTGCCTGTTCTCTGGCAGCCACTCACTGCCTGGCAGTTACATGACACTTAGAGAGAAATCAGCACAAGCTTAAAATGGGGTGCATTTGTGTGTCTGCTGTTGTGAGAATGTGTTACCCTGTATGAGTGTGTACCGTGGAGGGGTTGGGGCCCAATCACATAATCTGAATGGTCTTAATGCGGCAGCTCAAAATGATTTCACAGCTCTCAGGTGGGCTGTACAGCTTCGCACCCTCTCTCTTATTGCAACCCTCTCATTATTGAAACTTGTGTTGTGAATACGAGAGGAAATACAGCCACCCTTCAATTCCCAGCCTGCAGGGATTTGTGGACTGGTTATAATACTGATGATCTACTGCAGTGGAAAGCATTGCTCAGATACAGCAAGTATGATCATCCCATCATGACAAGAAGCAGTAAACTAACCATGTGTCTGTTTATTTGTATGTGCATATATCTGTATGCAGGTGAGCATGTGTGCATGCATAATCCAAATTGTTACACTCCACCATTAGTAACTGTTAGAGCAAAAGCTTTGAAATAATTAAAAATTGTCTCATTAAATCTGTGATGTTTGACAGGTTTCAGCTTGGGGCGGCTACGTGTTCATCATCAACCTTATTCCTCTTCATGTATTTGTCCTGCTGCTCATGCAGCGCTTCAGTAGGAGAGTCTACATAGGTGAGATGCAAAGCACACAGTCACACAAACTCTCAAACATGAATTCTTTTTTTATGTTCACATTGATTCAAGGTCATAAACCAATGACGGGGTTTAAAACAGTTGTGCTCATTTTGCATTCACAGTAGCACATGCAACATTAACATACAACATAAGCGCAAAGTAAGCTGAACGTTTAGCAGCTGCACACAAGCTATAGATCCTCAATCCTACAAAAGACTCAAAGCCATGCACATGTGGGAGTAACACACGGAGTAGCTTGTTATTCTTTGTCATATATGCCCTGAATAAACTCTGTTACTGATAATTAACCATCCATTAGCAACTGATGTTCGATCAGTTCGCACCAATCCCCCAGAGAACGGGAGACGGGATCTGTGATGAAAGTAAGAGAGATGAAAACTGGAAATGCAGGCAGGAAAAATACAGAAGGAAAAAAAGATTAAAGCTCTCTTCCCTTCAAAGAACTCGCCTTGTTGCACCCTCTGAACTCAGCTCACTGATTGTGAATCGTGTCCTGACCCCAACTCAAAGCTTCCTACTGAGGCTGTATCGCCATACCATTGGTTCAGATTTGAATCAATAGCCCATACATACCATACCAGATCATGTTTCTGTCAAAATAATGACATGTCAACACATAAAGAAGACACAACTGGTGAGGTTAACTTGGCAAGAAAGCTGTAAAATGTAGAATCAAAGAAAGGCTGTACTGAAAAGTGGTAAAGTTAGGTCAAGTACAGAGAAGGAAACTGAAAACAGAGAAGATGAGAGATGAGACAGGGTGACTGCTGGGTTCTGCATCTTCCAATAGGATTATTGGCAAAATGAAAAATTTACCATCAAGCTTCCTCCCTTGGTCTCCTACCTCCTTCATCCTCTTCCTGACACTGTTCTTTCTCCTCACCTCCTGTCTGTGTCTCTGAAGACCAACACAGTACATTTTGCCTGCAGCAATCCAGTAATTGAGTTAGTTCAAAGTTGTAATAGCTCTCCGCGTTCTGTGATGCATACCTTGTACTGTGATTTGAAGTCCAGTCTGTGACCTGCTGTCACACACCACACCCCTCTCGCTCCATCTTCCCTGTCTTATAAAACAGAAATACTGTAATGAAATCCAATTGAAATTTCATTATCAGCAGTATGCCCTCTGTAGCTGAACAGAAAACTCAGAATAGAAACCCCGCTGATAGATTCCCCTGCTGTCCAGCAGGAATCAGCCAGGCTGCTGGTTCCTGGTACCACTCTAGGCCGTCACATCAGTCAGCGTCTAGAGAACAGGTACCATGTGCCTCCTGCTGGGACACTTTAACGGAGCGACACCTGGCTCATTAGTTGCAGAACTGCTCTGCTTGGCAGCCAATAGCAGGACTAAGTGATTAGATTAGATTTGATGAGAGATTTTTGGACAAATAGGGGGCCACATATATTTATCATTTTTTTTAAGCTTGCATGCTGTTGGACTAAAAATGCAGACATCTTTAGGTAGCTGCCAAAGTGGCCACATTCATACTATGCCAGTTTTCTGGGAAAATGTCCTGCTTTGTTATGGTAAAAACAAAATGAAACAAAAAACAACAACAACCCACAAATACACCAATTAGTTCTGCATTAGTGTGCACTGATGTAGAGGATAAGACTCATGATGTTCAAAATGTCTTTTGTCTCACAAAATCCAACATTGGATGTATTTTACTATTCAAGTAAATGTATCCAAAACCTTATGTATCCTTTTCCTCTAAGCCACGGAGCTCCATTGTCCAAAAATGCATCATTGAGTCCCACTGTTGCACTGGCTGGCATGTCTCTGCATTACCATTAGCACACACACTATAACTTATTTTGACTGAATCCCTCGTACACCATCCTGCTGCCAGAAATACTGACACATACTTCAGATGTGGATTATTCGGTTCCCCAGCGAGTTCATTATTTCCTCTTGTTTGAGAAATACATAATAATACCTCCACAGACATGATGGTTTTGAGTTGTCTGTACATGTCCCATCTTGGACATAGTATCTCTTTCTTCAAATTTAGCTCAAAGATGAAATAAAAAGATTTTGATTAAAATTCACTGCCACTAAACAAACACATTTTTGGCCACAGCCTCAAGAATGTATTCCCTAATTATGACAAAATTTCACACAAATAACTAATAGAATAAAATAAAATACTGATTATAAATGATATCCAAAATGTCAAGAGTCAGCTTCCCTGTTACCTCATAAAGTTCCGCAAAAACACTTCTTGGGCTGTTGTTCAACACCATCATTCAAGAACAGATGCAGAGAATGTGACCGTGTTTTACGTTTGGTGAGATACTGAATGAGTGCCATGAACTTTTGATGATCACATTGAAACTGTGCTGATTGTATAGAGTTTTAAATGCTGTCGGTTTGTGCATGAAGCATCCATATTTAACAATTTCAGCAACATGCATAAACATCCATAGTCTACAAGAAGAGCCGGAACATTTCTCACTGGAAATGAATCGCACATCAAGATGTCTTCTGAATGAATGAAGAAATTTAGCCAAAAATCACAATTGTACCAGTGGGTAGGCAGGATTTATTTTTTTGACTCATTGGGCAAAAGTGCCGTAATAACCTTTCAACATATAGTAGTTAAAGTGGTCTGAGCGGAAACAAGGCTTCTGCATTGTCCTTTGGTTTAGTTTTGTGGCTGTAAATCATGTAGCTTGTGATGGAAGACTTTGTCCAATGACGCTTTTATTCCAGAGCAGGTCAGATAGTAAAAAGAGCAACAAAGTCTGCATTGGAAGTATAATATGGTAATTTAATATGCTACACAGGCCTTTCACTCAGAAGAACCAGGTTTGAATGCTGTGTAACCGATAACTTTTGAGGTTACAGCTTCATGTGTTTAGTTGACAATAAGAAAAAATCTAATTCCGCAGCTGTGAAAGTTTAGTGTTTTTCTTGAAATCTAAAGTTTGACAATTTGTAAGTAAAATGCACTTACTGGACTATTACAGAGGTTTTAGCTGTCGCACACGATGTTTATTACCAGACTGAGAGCTCGGTTGTCATGGAGATGGAGGTGTGCAGAGCAGCAGAACTCGGTGTCATGCAGATTTTGAAACTACAGTAGTGGTGAATCATTATATTTTATAATGTAAACCTCCCGACTGTAAAAACAGTGAGGGGAATTAGCCCCACCTCGACCGACCACAACAGTAAAATGCAACTTACACGGTCTGTAATAACCATCTGACAATATTACAGTCTCAGTAACTCCCAAATGGTCATATGTTGTACGTTAATTTTGCACTAGAATCACATTTAGCTTATATAACTGTTGCATTATATATAAGCAGCATTTCAAATGTTTCGACTACTGCACAGGGATTAGAATCTAATCTGCTTTTGTATTAATTATTCTAAATGTGCGATTCATGTTGGTCTGTAATTCCACTAGTATTTGACTGAGAAGGTCATTAGATACACCTCTGCAATCTAACATGATTTTCACAGCCCTGCACTAGATCCTGTCTTTGTGGATCTCTGTATAAATTGTTCACTTTTAATCAGCATCAGAATCTTTAAAACACCTCTCAGTATGATGCAGTACACTAGAAGCAGCTGCAGCCTACAAAATGATCATAGTGTTGAATCAAATTTATGCCATTGTCATGTCCTTCTAAAGGATTTATTTCTGTTTCAGGGCAAATTCTGTTTGATTACCTTAGATTCTATAGGCGCATCAAAATTTCAATTCTGTGCATTGGCGCTGGTGGGGCAAAGCGTGTCCTTGCATTAATTTACCATAGCAGCTTGTAAAACAGGCTGGGTCAGTAGCAATCTTTATTTCCATTTTCCTCACACTGGCATCTCTAATAACATTGCCATCATCACAAGAAACGGCATAGAGGGAGAAAGTGATTGAATCAGAAACTAAACAACCTTGGATCTGCTGCTTTTACATATAAATAAAACAGCCTGGTTTGTGTGGACCCTGATGAGTGTCATCTCTAGAGAACTGCAGTGAGGGGGGCGAAAAAAATACACAGATTGTGATTGGATGACTAAATATTTGAACCTTTTTCATTACCCCCCAGTTGGGTGAAGGCGACTACTTATTAAAAAATGTTGAAAGTATGTCTTGCTCCAACAGAACAGCAGGGTTTGTTTTTTCCCAGCAACACAAACATCTTTTCGGTGCAGTAGCAATAATAATCATGTCAACTTGTGAAGACAGCAGCGGCGAGAGCGGAGGTTTGATTTCTCACCCAAACACAAATTAGTGGGGACTTTTTCTCCCTACAGTTCCCTTCCGTGTGCTCTGGTGAGACTTCAGCTTTACAAATTTATTTTCAGGGACATGGAGCAATAATTCACTGAATGCTCAACTGTATTACACTGGGTGCTTAAAATAAGACACTGCAGTACTAAAAATGAAATGTTTGTAAATTTTGAAAAGAAAACTGTTTATTACCTTCAAGAGTTGCGATAAGGTGTCACTCTTGGTTTCTTTAAATGAATCAGTGCACATGTAGAGATTGTAAGTCACTGACTATATAAAAAGATGGACTCTGTGATGCCACCCTCAGAAGAGTGGTTGGAGGTTCAGTGTGATGACTGTTTGTGTCTCACTCTGCCTTACTGCCAGCTAATCCAAAAATGAGCAAAGCGGTAAAATGTGAGTGGAGCTGAGGTGGGCCATGCGAACCTCTCCAGGCCATGGTCTATCCTATGATGGCACCATCTGTCACTCAAAGTGTGTGCACACTTAATTATGCTTATCTTTAAGTTTTAATACAGTGTAAACAGGTGAGTTATGTAAAAATGTTCTCTCCATACAGTTGTTATGAGCGGGGAAATTTGCTGTAAAGCGTCTTTTGCAGAGACCAACTTTTGTACTGGGCTGTATACATTTAGTTTCTTCTGTAAAGTTGGACATTTTAACATGAGGTCCCCTGGGATTGTTTTTAAAGGCGGCCTCAAGTGGCTACAGTAAATACAGCATATAGACACATGTTGTCAGACAGACACAACTGATCCCACTGATGAAAGGCTCTCTGGTCTGACATATCTACAAAGTGTACATTTCACAGCTTTGGCTTTTCTAGTTTGTAATAAGCTTGTACAGCCTGTTCAGAAAAACCAACCCTTTTATTTTATTGGATGTGCAGCAGCAATATTCGACCAGCAGAACTTGTTTGGAGGCTTTTGTTATTGAAGCTTGGTTTCAGTGCGTCTGACCCCTGAGGGCTTGTTTGAAACGGTTTTCAGGTTTAGTCAGCGTGTTCACAGCAAGCCTGTTGTCTGGTTGTGCTGCTGACTCCCAAGTGTGTAAATTGTTTGAACTCTCAAGCTTAATCGCTCTTAGACTGTCAGTCATGATTTAGGCTCAGAAGACATTTTGTTCTTGTGTTCTGCATCAAGGACTTTCTAAGTTTGTGTTTGCAACAGTCCTAGAATCACTATCACTGCATCTGTGTATGTACTTTCTGTCATCCTCATTAAATTTTCATTGGAATCTATCAAATTGCTGACTTAATGTTTAATTTGTTTATATTGTAAAAAAACACATTTTCCAAATCCCTGGAAATTTAGCCGAGTAGCTACCACAGAAAATGACATTATCACAAAACAAAAACTCATCCCACAGTCTGGATGGTAGCCTGAATTTTATATATTATGTATATTGTTTTTTACATTTGATGCAGTGCTTACATGAGCTTTAGCACCTGTTTGTGTTTCACATCTGCAGAGTGACATTTTTTCAGAGGAGGGTCATTCAGTTGTCACTAAATTCCATAATTAGCCAAGAGTTCACGTCTCTCTAAATGTCTGCTGCCTCAAGCCCATTCATTCTTACTGAAAACATAAAAAATATTACAGATATACAGTTTAATTAGGCTTTTTTTTTTCTTTTTTTTTTAAAATAAAATGTAGTTTTCAGAAAATGTTACTCAGACACGAGGAAACTGTTTTTATGGGGGACTATTTTCAGCTGCGATGAATATATCTGGCAGCAGGATGGTGTATGTGGGATTGAGGCAAAATAAACTTCAGTGTGTGTCTTCATTACAATGAAGAAACATGCCAGCCAGCGCAGCAGTGAGGCTCACTGATGTTGCTCAGAGGAATAAGATATATCAGGCTCTGGATGCATGCACAACACTTGTTAGTAGGATACTCCTATTGTTCTATTTGAGAAATTTTTTGACAGGAAAAATACACCAGCCAGTGTGCTATAGGAGGTGGTAGATTTTGGCCTGGCAAAGTTAGGATTAGCCTCATGTAAAGATTAGAAATGATGTAGCCAGTTGAATGTACTGACATATAATTGTACTAGTAGTTTGTCTGTAACTGATCCTAACAGCTTGATTTCCTCCTGCAGCATACAGCACCTTCTACATCATCGGCCTGGTCCTGTCCATGCAGATCCCCTTTGTGGGCTTTCAGCCAATCAGGACCAGTGAACACATGGCCGCAGCAGGTCAGTAAGCAGTCACCTAGGGTAAGAGTGGAAAATAGCTTTCGAAGCCTGTGGTACTTGTTTACTGCAGGTCTCTGCAGTCCATTATGTCTTATGACTCTCAGTATATTTAAAACGGCACTCAGCTCTACTTGCGCACTCCAGAGGAATGCATCAATATAGCCTTTAAAAAATTCCAATCAACACCATATCACTGTCTTTGTGTTGGCCCTCAAGCCAGAATGTGTCAAGATGATGAGTTAATTTTGGAGCATTCACCTGAGACAGTTCTCGTAAAAAGTGTGTTTCCATAGAAGCTTGGCTGTGCCAATATACCACAGAGTTCCAACAAGACTACAGTGGAAATAAAGACAAATGCAACCTCACTTAGTACCTTCAGATATACCCTAAATTATTCAACAGGCATAATATTGAAACACCCGAGTGTAGATAAAGTGGATGTGATACCTCCAACTGTTGCTGAATGCGTTTTTTTTCCACAAAACAGAATTGTTTCACATTTAAATAACATTCAAGTTCTAAAAATACAATATTAATATTGCTCCAATATTTGATTTACTGTACGTTAGAAACACAACTCAAGACAAAAAAGCAGCCACTTTTAAACAAATGGAACAATAAACATCCAACTATCTGCACTTTAGAATTTTGACAGACAACAAATTCTTGGTTTGTTTCCTTATTGTGGCAATTTAAACAAGGATTGACTGTATTTATTGTTTGCACTGGTATGTATGTCAGATCCTAACATCAATCCACCACATGGTGCATGTGTCTGCAGGTGTGTTTGTACTGCTTCAGGTCTACGCCTTCTTGCAATACCTGAAGGACAGACTGACCAGGCAGGAGTTCCAGACTCTTTTCTTCTTGGGAGTGTCTCTGGCTGCTGGAGTGGTTTTTCTCTCCGTCATCTATCTGACATACACAGGTTGGTTGTCTACTGAAACTGAAATTTGTTCATATCAGTGGAGAGGTCAAGAACAAGAAAATGTGTTCTGCTGTCTGTTGCAGAAGAAGAAATCATGAGCCTTTGTCGAACATTAGCAACACGTTAGATAATGTAGTCAAGCTGAAGGCTCTGGTTATCTAGTGCCGTTACTAGGGATGAGTATTGGTAAGATTTTAACAGTATTAATACTTTTACTGATACTGCTTATTGATCTGGCACTTTAACAGTATTTTTTGATAATTTTTTAAGGAGAAAAATAAGAAATTAAGAACAGAATCAAGACTGCTTTATTTTCTCATACGAATTGTATGTAAACTAACATTCTTGAGCGGCGCTCTGCAACAGCATTATTTTTATTAATATATCGTGATAACCACAGAAAAAAACGCAATCTTCTCAAGAAGTCACTTAATAGACACTCATATTGTGATAACTGGAATATTGAAGGGAGTGATCAGAGCACTGTACACCGTGTGTCACTGGTTGTACTCACAAAATTTTAAAAAATAAATTGCTGATAATACTGTTTTCACTCTTTACTTTTAAGTAAAAAACAAGAAAAGAAATGCCAGAAATTTTCTTTGACTGTATTTATACTGTGTGATGATAATAGTTTTCATTAAGGAAACAGCTGAAGTACTTCTTCTACCAACACCAACCAATGTTCAGTTAGACAAAGTGAGAATTCAGTTTGTCTGCAGCCCCCGAATCTCTGAATCTGGCCTGCTGTGTTACTGAAACTCTGTGTGCAGGCTGCTAGCATACATAACATACCTGGGTTAGCGAGGAATGAACTACGAGCTCAGCAGTCAGACTGCATTTCTGCGCCTGTATGTGTATGCAACTTTTCCTAGATGTTTCAACACATTGCCTGTTTCCCCCATTGCATGTACGCAACTTGTTACACGAGCATTGTCTGCATTACCTCTAGTCAAGTGTTATCACACTTCTGAATGGTCGTTTTTTTTCCCCCCATTGTCGCTAAGAGCAGGGTCTGTGCTGCACGGTGCTGCAGGCGTGTTACAGAGAGCTGGTCCTGCCTGTCACATACACACTCTGACCCAGAGAACTATTTTTTGGCTTTGGAAAGCAAAGGTGCATTGTAGATGAGTGTCTAATGGTGGTGAAATAGATGTGCAAGATAACCATCTTTTTAATTCCTTAAGTACCAATACCAGAACCATTAACATCAAAGCTTATTAATCCTGCATTATTTATAAATTTACCCCTAGGGCTTGTTTAATACTGAGGTTCTATACCCATACCTTATCGTTACGTTACTGACGTTACAGAGAGAATACATAACAGACATTGTGATCCTGATGCATCAGCTTGTAGGCAGCGCTGTACAGTTTGTCTGCTGAACTGGTTTCTGAGTCTGAACATGTATGACTGAATTATTCCAGTTGTACGACATGCCACTGTGTAGTGTAGAGAAGTTTTACCGTGTTAAACAAAGTGAGCTGGCAGTTTAAGCTGCTGGTGGTCAAAGTGTTGGTGGAGATGAAGATAGGGACTAATTTGCATATTTGTAGTTCGGTCAATGCCAGGAGATGGACTCTAGGCATTCATTTTGGCATTCTTGCCTTTCTTTGACACTGCACTATAGGGACGGGAAATGTGAGGAGAGAGAGCAGTGAAATAACTGGCAGTGGAATTCCATCTGGCTGCGATTTAAACCAGCAACTCTGCTACTAACAACATTTTTAACCGACATGCTATGTGTGCTGACCATGTCGCCATCAGGTTGCCCAAAACTATGAAAATGATGTGACTCCATTTTGGTTTCTTTTCTGTTAGGATGACCCAGTCACTTGTCGAGTAGTTCTAATACAATGCTGGACATCTATACCAGTCCATTCCTGTGCATGCAGACTACGGGACTAGACACTCTGTTCCACATTTGTGCATCATCTAATGCATAGTCAAAATAAATCTTAGCGAATGGTGGATCAGAGTTAGACGGGGGGTTTTCATGATTGGTATTAGGAGGTAATGTCCTGCTACACAGTACATCGCTATTATGAAAAATTGGCACTGTGAAGAGAATAACACTGGAAAGACTGAGCAAAGGTTGTTGTGATAGCAATTTTTATGATGGAGCCTTTTCTCTGTCAGAGATAATAGGTCTGCTTTCTACGGATGAGCAGTAATCAGTAATAGAATGAAAGTGAATAGGCAGGTCAGTCAGCTAAAATGTACTGTGGCACACAGGTGAGCTTTTCATAATGATTTTGTTTTGACATCACAAGTAAGAAACATTATCTTACTAATTCGTTAAGCTGTCACTTTTCTTAGTGGTAGAAAGTACTTTTGAAGTGCATTGTGCTGCAAGGGGATGTTATTTAACTGACACTCACTGATATGAATGGGAGGAACAAAATAGTAGAAACGCTGGTGAGTTCAACAGCATCACAAACTATAGTCTCAAAAAAAAATAGCTCCTTCAACAAGTCTGTGAAACAGTTCAGCGAAAACTTAATATTCTAACCCTCATGGAAGGAAGCTTTATTTATTGTTGCATGTAAATGCATTAGTTTTAGCCAGGTGCACCTAATAATGTTAGAGTATTGTTACATTTTTCTGCTGAACCAATTCATTACTTTTGAGATAAAAAGTACATTTATGATAACTATGTACTTTTATTGTTGTATTATTTTACATGCAGCCTTTTGACAACGCTAGAGGATTGTTATATTCTTGTATTGGTGCTTTAACTCAAGCAAAGAATCTGAATATTTCTTTCACTTTGGATGTTTCAATTTTTTTCTTGCTGTGAACCTATTCCATGAAAAGACCAAATCAACAATGTGTCTGTCTGCAAATGCTTAAAGGAGAAGTTTGAATCTCTGACCGGACAGCTAGTGGTTGAGTTGCATTGTGGTTGGTATCAGTAATGTGACTTTGACAAGGAAGAAGACAGTAGCGCTCAACGATATGCAAAAAAAAAAAAAAAACTGTGTTGTTTTTTTTTTTGACAGATATTAGTCCTGATTTAAGTGACTCACTGATTTTACATTGAAAGAATTATAAAAGAACAAGCATGTTTCCTTATGTATGGATAATCCTTTGTGGGCTGTGGCATTTCTGTAGCACTACAATGCTTCTTTTGTGATGGTACGTTAAGAAAAAATTGACCTTTTTTTAAAAAAATTAAAAAAAAATTGCAGTTCTTTTGATTAGATTAGATAAAGTCTTAATGTTGTTGGGTCTCCACATTCCAAGTGATGTTTAAATACTCTGATGAATGTGATCCGAGTGATTAGAACCCTAATCTAAGGCCATTGAGATGCTACATGTAAAGCAAAAGGTGGTTATGATTAGAATCAGCTGTACAATGGCGTCACTCATCTATTGTCTGTGTATGAACGGGCCACCTGCTGGCTCTCTAACAGCTGTGATTAGTTTCTGTGTTCTCATTTATCACTGCGCTGCGCATATCAGAGAATAATTATATGATCGATACATGCACGAGGATTGTTGCAAACCAATTACTTGTTCCACCGAGGCATGGCAGAATACACAGATCACCGACAGTCCTCGTGGTGTGTGTGTGTGTACGGAGGTGAATTTATGTGTCTGTTTCACCGCACTTGTGAGTACATTGTAAGCCCATATGGTTTATGTGTGTGTTTCACCTTCAGGGTACATTGCTCCATGGAGTGGGCGCTTCTACTCCCTCTGGGATACTGGGTAAGTCATCGGAATTCATGTGTTGTTCTTTTGCTCTGGATTTAAACCACAGTATTGATAAATAATTAGGTTGTAATCTGTACATACCACAATTACCTGTAAAACTGATGGCGATGAAAAGTGGAGGGGTGGGAGGTGCAATAACTTTCATCAAAGATTTATTTCACCCCGTCCACTCGTTGATTTACTATGAAGTTTTAATTTATTCAGCTTTACTCCATTTCAGCCCATGTGTTAAATAATAGATCAAATGGATAATGATTGTTTCTCACACAGAGGGGCCAAAGTTGTTACCTGTTTCTACTTTTCATTTCATTTTTCTAAGCAGACTTCTCACATTTTAGTCAGATCTGTCAAACAAATCAAATGCATAGAAAGTACCATAAGTTTGCTTTCACCTCTTTCTGAGGCCAAAAGCTTTTTTTTTGTTGTTGTTGTTTTTTGTTTTTTCCACGCTTGCCACTCTGCGGCATCATAAAATCCCAAACAGAAAATGTTCCACTTCTTCTCTCCCAGATCTGGGCTTACAGAGGACTGCCAGTGTGCAGCATCAGCCTTAAAACTGTTAAACTCTCACTGTGCGTATGTGCACATATGTCTGTGTTTGTGCACACACTTGAGTATTTTTCTTTTTTGACGGAAGTTATGTTTTGCTGCAGTGCAGTAAAAATAACGGGGTCATCCTCGGACCCAAGGTAACTGACATCAGGCAAACTTTATTTTCTCAGATTTACTATCAACACAATCAGTTAACTTTAGAATTAGTCAAATGAATATGTGAGCGAAGTAAGCCTTGGTCGACACTAATGTAGATATTTTCCCTTTCAGTTAGAAAGAAGCCACACAAACATTGTTTTTTGGAAATCTCTGTTCACCCAAAAACACAAAAAAAGACTAAACACTATGTTAACCATGCTAGGCAAGTCTACATCGACTGTAAATACTAGAAAAAAACAATCTGTTGTTTCATCGTTTCTGTAGACTTTAAACTGCTAATCCAGACGTAGAGACTATTGCATGCTGGTGAGGTGGTGCCGCAATGCCAAGACTTTAATACTAGTGTTAACCTCATTTTAAAAGATAGTATATATGTCCAACATTAACGTTGTTTGTTTATGCATCATGCTCCAAAAACAAAGCAACAACGGGCACACATACGTTAGAAGGTGTTGGGAAAAACTGAAGTGACCTAAAACGTGCGTGAATGAGAGACCTAAACATAAAGGAAAATGTTTGTATTGGAAATATTATTAGCGTAGACAAGCTCTAAATGCATTGTTTTGATTGTTTGACACCAGTCATATATTGACAATTTAATAAGATCGTCTTTTTCTCCTCCTTAGCTTAACCATCACCTTTGTGGGTTGTCTAATGCTTCTCTCTCCTTCATGTTGTCCACAGCTACGCTAAGATCCACATTCCCATCATAGCATCAGTGTCTGAGCACCAGCCCACCACATGGGTGTCCTTCTTCTTTGACCTTCACATCCTCGTCTGTACTTTCCCAGCAGGCCTTTGGTTCTGCATTAAGAACATCAATGATGAACGTGTCTTTGGTAAGCATGGAATACTTTTCTTTTCCAAGAAATCAGAACCCTGTTGGTGGGCACGAAATTTAAAGAATAATAATTATGGAAGAATTAGTTTGTGTGCTCAGGGAAGCAAGAAATTCCCAATGGAAGCTTTCATTCTCAAGCAGGTCTATTGCTTTATCAGACTGTAGAAAGCACTACAAACACATGCTAACACGGTGACACAACTGCTAACAAGAAGGGTTTCAATGTTTCAAAATGTTTTGTGATTTGTGGGAAGCTTGCGACAGTGTGCTCTGTCAGAAATGTACATTATCATTACTAGAGGAGCAAGTTCAGGGCTTCTTTTATTTAAATATGCTCATTTAGTGTCCATCACATTAAAATAATAGGTGGTGCTGATTTTGTTATAACAATGATTTTTTTTTTGCCTACAGTTAATGTTAAGTGCGTAATCGCTTTTATGGCTTCTGCTGCTGCAGCAAAGTCCCCCAGGGAAGTAACTACTGTTTTTTCAGTAGAGATTCAGATTTAGTTGAATGCTGTCAGGCATCATAACCAGTACCTGACTAAATAAATAAATAAATAAATAAATAGGGCTTTCACTCTTACAATAATAATACCTTTTATATAGTTATCACAAAGGTGGAAGTTGGGTTCCAAATAAATGAATATCACATTATTGTCTCTGACAATCACAAGCTGGAAAATTATAATTATTTTACGATTAAGAGCTCAGTAGAACATGATTATAGATGTTGTTTTGGCATGGAAGATCTCTGTTGATAATCTACTGTACATTATACAGGTAAGCATCAAAGTATGCTGAAAATACAGCAAACATTTTAACTCTGCCAGCCTTTAGAGGGCTTTGTTTCTTCTAAAAGCAGGGGATATGGCCAACAACTGAGGGCACTGCTAAAACTATAGCTAATTTCTAATTTCATGCCTTGTGGCGTACATGCAAAGAGAGAGAGAGAGAAATGGAAAATATCTCCTGTCAGACTGCTTGTTTGATTTTTGGCAGTACATCATTTAGCTGATTACTTGTAAATTATTTTCAAATGATCACAGTAATCTAAAAAGCTTGACTCCAATTTGGTCATGACAACACTGGATAGACTGGTTGTGAATTGAATATTTTCTGACACTGAATGAATCTGTCTCTCTGTATTCTATGAGAATTAGAGATGCTCACAAACGCTATTTAATTATAATGTAAGAAGCATAATCATCATTTCTATAGCACCTTTAAGTGCTTTCCATAGACTAAATAAAAAAGAATCACTTCTGTAAAAAGAAAGTTGTCTTCATGTTGATGTGTTTATGACAGTTATTTATTTTGCTGTAATATAAGTAACACATGAGTGTGTGACAGAGCCTGGTGTTGGCTCTTAAATTGAAACAATTTTGTTCCCTGCAACACTTTCCAGCTCTGAGAATATCCCTTACAGAATACCATTATTTCATATCTACTGGGAAATGATTTCTTTTTTCTGTCAGCAAGCATGTGATTATTGTGATCTTAAACTTGAGCTACTGGTGGGAGTTCAGCTTTCAGGCTCCTTCTGGTTCTTTTTCTCTGTGATTGTTTGTCTTGTTACAGTCCTCAGGCGTCTCATTCAGGGTGTCCCTCCTCGTGACACAATGTACCACACACTGTTAAGTAAAACTGCAAAGTGATAAAAGTAACTGCAGGGAGAAAAAAAATCATTAGTGTAAAATTGGTGGCTCATTTTCACAGCCAGGACTCGACATATCCACTCTGAGTCCTGGAGCACTCTGGCACCGTGCACTCTCACACTGTCTGAATGATGGGCTGGGTTTAATGGATGGGTTTAACATACACATTTTAACGTATTTAAAAAATATCAAAATTTGCCACATGATTTAGTACAATGTTACTTTTGAAAGGTTTTCCACACACTACTTTAATATTTTTGTAGCTAAGTAGTGTATTGCAATTTAGCTTTTTCAAACTGTGCAAGCTCTATGTATATACATCTGAATCTCATTTCTCTTAAGTCAACTTTAATACAGTTTTTAAGTATTATTCAAAACTTATTCTTAGCAAACTTCCTTTTGGAATTGCAACTTTACATTTTGAGAGAGGACAACAGTTTTTTATTCCACTCAGTTCTCTGAATATAAGTATATATTTCGGTTTATACCTACATATACTTCTGTGTGTGTACAAGGCTCAGTGTGTAGTGTAATAATGACAGCAGTGCTGGTGCAGCTATCTGAGCAATGTCTCACATATGCGGGCCATATTAGCCTGTAATGTATTCATAGGCAGCCTCTATCAAAGTTTTATTTATTCGTAGCGTGGCCATTAGTCTGTGAAGCACTTGTGTGTTGCTTGTCTCTGTCTGGTTATTCGGTTACCCCTTTCCATTTTTTGCTTTATACACTGCTCAGAAAAATAAAAGAAACACTAAAATAACACATCCTAGATCTCAATGAATGAAATATTCCAGTTAAAAAACTTTATTCATTACATAGTGGAATGCATTGAGAACAAAATAACATAAAAATGATCAATGTAAATCTAAATTATTGTCCCATGGAAGTCTGGATTTGGAATTATACTCAAAATAAAAGTGGAAAATCACATTCCAGGCTCATCCAACTTCAGTGGAAATTCCTCAAGACAAGTCAAAATGAGGTTCAGTAGTGTGTGTGTGGCCTCCCCGTGCCTGTTTGACCTCCCTACAACGTCTGGGCATGCTCTGGACACTGTGCTGAGAGACACAGCAAACCTTCTTGCCACAGCTCACATTGATGTCCCATCCTGGATGAGCTGCACTATCTGAGCAACTTCTTGTAGACACCGCCTCATGCTACCTCTAGGGGTGAGAGCACTGACAAAATGCAAAAGTGACCAAAAGATCAGCAGAAAGGATGAGAACAGAGACATGGTCTGTGGTCACCACCTACAGAACCACTCCTATAATTATGGGAGTTGTCTTGCTAATTGCTTCTCATTTCCACCTGTTGTCTGCTCCATTTGCACAACAGCAGGTGAAACTGATTCACAATAAGTGTTGCTTCCTACCTGGACAGGTTGATTTCACAGTGTGATTGACTTGGAGTTATGTTGTGTTGCTGAGATGTTCTCTTTATTTTTTTGAGCGCTGTATTTCGTCTCCCTTGTTTCTTTTACAGTTTTTCCCACTGCCTCATTATCTTTGTGTGTTATATAGTCTGTTTGGTTCATTGCTCACTTCTGCCACTTTAGCTGCCATCCATATGCTTCTCTCTGTGTTTCTAAAGAAACGGTCTGTGTGCAGCTTAGATGCTTACATAAAATGGTCTGATTTAGGGCTGCACAATGTTTTGAGTATTTTTCCTAATAAAGATTTGGTTTCCCAATCACCAACTGCACTGTTGATATTTCAAATACTCTGCACATAGAAAACAGCCCATGTAGATTAAATCGGTCAGTTTCAGCTTGGATAAGTTGCACTGTTTCACCCTTTTCGAAGTAACCTTGGATCACACACCTGTCTGAGTTATGTACTGTAGTAACTGTTGGGGGACTAGAGGCTTCCCTGTGCACAGTGTGTCTAGATACTGTAGCCTGCATTTGAGGCGTAGAGAGAACATCAGTAAATTGTAGTGTAGTAAGTAATGCCCTACTCTGGATTTGGAGCCCTGCTGTTGTTGAGCACACTTAAAATTACACAAGGATGATAGTGATGATTCATGTTTTGTTTGTAGTTCATACAGTAAAGCTAATAGTTGATTAAAATGAAATATTTTTGCTGACATGGAGGCTGATCAGTGTTTTTTCAGCTTGTGAAGGGGTGCATGACAGAAGATGTTTCAGAACTGCCTGCCCTCTCTTGGCTGGTCCAGTCCTCTTCCTGTCTGCTTCTCTTTTGTGCACTACTTTCTTGTTTATTTGTGTTAGCCGTTCCTCTCTCTCTTGATGGCTCTCTTCTTGCTTTCTACCTGTTGCCTGCTCATCACTTCACACAGTCTCTTTGATCTCATTTTGGCTGAAAAACACTCCATGAATAGAACCACACTTGTGCATTTGGTTTGTGTGTATGTGCTGTTCTTGTTTTTCTGCTGTTACATTTTTTTTCCCTTTTGATCCTGCTTCCTCCTGCCAGTGAAATATACTCTGTAATTAATACGGTGAAAAGAAGTGCATGATTCTCAGGTCACTGTCAAACAACAGACACATTACCCCTGTAATATGACTCGACAGCAATACATTTAAGTAAATTGGCTTAATCAAATTATATGTAAAATTGAAATGAAACTCTTTAGGCTTAGACTGTAACCTCATCGCCTCTCAACTCCTCGTCTCTCTCTCTCTCTGCTTTCCTGTCACCAGTGGCCTTGTACGCTATCAGCGCTGTGTATTTTGCTGGCGTGATGGTGCGGCTGATGCTGACCCTGACTCCAGTGGTGTGCATGCTGTCGGCGGTGGCCTTCTCCAGTGTCTTTGAACACTACCTGGGTGATGACATGAAGAGACAGAGCCCGCCTGCAGAAGACAGCAGCGACGAGGATGACAGGAAAAACGCAGGCAACCTCTACGACAAGGTCAGGAGTCATCAGAGTGTGTGTGTTGCCACTTTCAGTGATGATCAGTTGTGCTGTTGTTATATATGGTTATTGTTTTTGCAGATTAATGTTCATGTTACAGAAGATTATATGATACTAGGAAACTGATCCAGTGCAACAAAAGCAATAATGAATGTCTCTTAAAATGCTCAAAACATGGCTGTATAATGTTGATGCAGTGATGTGTCTTTCAGCTCATTGTTTATGGTTTAACATTGGAAAAATTGCTGATTTTCGCTGTCTTTATCAGCCTTATCCACGCCCTGCCTGCTGCAGCAGTCGGCTTATTCAAGTGAAAAAGCTCTAAAAATCCACTGTGTCCAATACCAAGTACCAGGCAAACAGTTAGTGGCTTGAGGTGAACTTAGAGGAGTACTTATGAGCTAAAGAATCAGACATTTTTCACAGGAATTACTTTGGAGCTAAAAAGAAAGTAAATATGGGACAGAAAATGTGGCTTTCTGCTAAAGTTGTTTCCTACATGCTGGATGTTAAATAAGTAGTGTGACTCACCGGATGTAGGCTGTGGGTACAAGTCTGTCCTTGGCATCTCATTTCAGGTGGCTTTGGCCTTCCCTTCTGTTCTCTGCATGTTTTTGGTTTATTATCCATTTTAATGATGGTGCTCATCTCTATGCATATAAATGTTCCACCAAAACATTTCCACTCGTCACCATTTTAAGGGAACACCGGAGCTCCATCCAAACCAATTGGGATTAATTTATAGAAATACAAACAAGCCACAGCTTTTTTCCCCCTATAGTAGAATGATAATGAGGTGCAGCCAGAACATTGTATGCCTCAGAATGTGCTGGCTACATGAGACTAGCAAATAAGCAAATGCTCAGTACATTTACAAGCCACAACAACTTGTTCTACAGCCCGTCAGTGGCCAAAAAAAAAGAGTAGTGCTGCTTTAAAGGCAAAGTCATGGTTTAGGGATCTGCTGACTAACGTAGACATATTTATGTTCATACTACAGCTATGGCACATGACAGTCTGCAGCATAAACCTACCATATTGCCCCACTCTTTACAGGATATGCCATAATTAATCCTGGCGTGTGCCGACTGTTATGCAAAGAAAAAGCCTGGTTGTATCTGTTACTCTCCTGCTTTTGCTCCTTTTCCTTTCAGTGCAAACAAATGGTACTGATGTCCAATGTTTTTGTCATCCTTTTGCTGCTTTTCCTCCAAATCGATGCCGTGGGACTAATGCATTATAGTCCTATCCCAAGCTGCTGAAGAGCGGAGTTGAATGTGACACTATAAAACAGCTCCAACAGTTAATTGTTCTCACCGAGAGAATTCTCAGACAGACAATTAACAGTCCTGCAGTACATTAACAGCTCATTTTTACAGCGTGCATGTCCTTTTGAAGTTTGAATAACCTTTACAAGCGCCTCTCCCCTGCAGGCTGGGAAGGTGCGTAAACATGTATCAGAGCAGGAGAAGGCAGAGGAGGGCCTGGGCCCCAACATCAAGTCCATAGTCACCATGCTGATGCTGATGCTGCTCATGATGTTTGCTGTCCACTGTACCTGGGTCACCAGTAACGCCTACTCCAGCCCCAGTGTAGTCTTGGCCTCCTACAACCATGATGGGTGAGAACTCCTGTATATTATATACAATGATATTCTTGTTAACAAAGAAGCATTGACAGGCACACTAATGGGATTCTTGCTGGGTTTTTACCTCTGTAAAGGGTTTGTTTACCAAAATACCAAATTTGTATGTCGCCAGGCAGATATAGTCATGACTCGATAATCCGACCCTTAACAATCCGAAAACCTTGCTATCCGGCAGGTTTTTAGGAAAAATGAACAGAACCCATAGCCTTGGATTCTGACTCCGACATGACATTTTATGTCACGGCGTATTATCTGACTTAACAATCCGACAGATTAGTTGCGTTCAGACTGCAGGACTTAATGTTAAATTCAGATTTTTTTTTGTGAAATTCATTTTTTTTTTGCGAGTCAGTTCACATTTCCTATTAAATGCGACTTGTATGTGATCTCCTGTGTGAACTTCATACGACCCAAAAGTGTCCCGCATGCGCAGAAGAGGACACGATGATGTCACATGCAGTGAGCGTGCTCAGTGTTCATGGAAGTAAACATGGATGGTGGTGCCATCGCTTCCGCCGCCGATGGTGGATAATATTCGGATATTTCTCATTAATTGGGCCTGTATATCCAGAGACCAGAAAGTGCTATTTGGACCAGCCCTACTAGTTATAATAACAACTATGAACAGTAATTAACAACAAATTACCCTTCAAGCATCAAGCCCTCCTTGTATCTCGACCTCCGTCTAGACAATCTGACAGCCTTGCTGTCCGACATAAAAGAAGGTTTTACATTTAGTGTCGGATTATCGAGTCACGACTGTAGTTTTGCTTTTCTATGGCCACATTTTGAGTTCTGGCCGAGACATTTCTGCCTCCACTCTAATACAATGAAGTTTGGTTTGCAGTACTCAATTTCAGCAATGAAAAATGACATTTAAAACGGTAGCCTCTCTTTCTTTAATGGTGTTCCCAGCAATACACAGACTGTGTTGTCATCACTTTTCAGAAGAATTACTTTTTACTGAAGACAGAGTTTTTTTTCCCAAGACTTTGAGCTTGGGTGGATTAAAAGACATTGGCCCACTGGACACAGAGATGTGCTACCTGCCACATGTGTTTTTTTTTTCCTTCTTTAGTTCTGTTAGTTGAAGTTTCTTTATTACATTTTGTTCATTCTGCAAATGAAAAGAGGCAGTTTAAATCCTTTCAAAGCTCCCTGCCACTAGCAGATCCACACTGACTCTCCTTTCACTGATATCACTAAACACTCCAGCATGATATGCTCAGTGTAAGAGACCTCCAACAAATGGAAGCTGTCATGCAGGTTCTGTTTTCTGACGCAAAGCTGTTCTGCTGTCAGACTTATTTAAACATTGCACACAGGTTTTACTGGGGGGGTTGAACTATTTAGTAAAATCACATGGCCAGGCCAGGAGTTATTAGCATTTCTCACTCATCCTCCCTCCTCCTCCTACCGCTGTGTCGTCACCCCACATTTCCACGACTGTCCCTGACAGCTCTCGTAACATCCTGGATGACTTCAGAGAGGCCTACTACTGGCTGAGGCAGAACACAGACGAGCATGCCAGAGTGATGTCGTGGTGGGACTATGGCTACCAGATAGCAGGCATGGCCAACAGGACCACGCTGGTGGACAACAACACGTGGAACAACAGTCATATAGCACTGGTATGAACCGCTCTGCTTTCAGCACTTGATGCATTTCTGTCATTTCGTTTCATGCTAACAGATTCTCTAAATGCAAACTTCAACATTTTATAGTTTTCTAGCCCTGGAGAGTTCAACATTGTTTTAAAATTTAATACATGAAAATGTGCTGTTATTCTTGTTTCTTTCTTTTCATGTATTTCTTCTTACTTTTCTTTGCTTCCTTACTCTCTGGTTGATGGTGTCACAGCTTGTAGTGGAGTTTTGTCAGCCTTTATGTGGGTCCCCAAGTATTGATCAGTTTTCTTGGTGTATGACACCACCAAGTGGACATAGCATTGTACACAGTGCTGTACACAGATGAAAGTGAGAAAAAGCTTGGTTAGCCTAAAACTAGAGGCACCCCACAGATGTAGAACTGCTCTTCCATAAAGACAGATTGAAAAGAATGGTCCAAATCCGAAGCAAAGCAAAGATTCAGATATCTACCCTAATATGAGAGCTTCTCCGAACACACCGCCCCTCCACTTATCTCAGCTTGACAGTGTGTCTTTGTTTGAACCTCCCTGCCTAAATGCAGACGTTTCTGACCTCCACGGCTCTTCTTTTGAAACTGTTTGTGATCACTTGTCCTTCAAAAGAGTAAAAAGTAAGAAAAACAAAGTCAAACATGGATGAAGAACATAAACACTTTGCTGGTCCACTTTTATCTCGTCCTATATCCATCTGCCACCCACCTCTCTTTGTATTAGCTTACTTTCTACTTCCAGTATTTTCAAACTGCCTTGTGTTTGTGGTCCTGCAGGTGGGCAAAGCCATGTCATCCAATGAGACTGCAGCCTACGAAATCATGAGGTCACTGGATGTTGACTATGTCCTTATCATCTTTGGAGGCGTGATTGGCTACTCAGGCGATGACATCAACAAGTTCCTGTGGATGGTGCGCATCGCAGAGGGGGAGCACCCCAGGGACATCAGGGTGAGACACACACACACACACACACACACACACACACACACAGTGTCTCAGCCTCTGTTGACTAACTTGTATGAAGAGTAATAAAAAGTGGTTCTTTCTCCTCCTTCTGTGTCGCCTGTCAACACAGGAAAGCGATTACTTCACCCCCCAGGGAGAGTTCAGAGTGGATAAAGCCGGCTCCCCCACCCTGCTCAACTGCCTTATGTACAAGATGTCTTACTACCGCTTTGGAGAGATGCAGGTATGTCATCGTGAATAACTGTTTTTTCAGATTTTCACTTTTTACTTTGGTAATTGACAGGATCTTTCGTTTTAACTTGAACTGTCTAAGTAGTTTCAAAAAGAAATAACTTGACCTGTTTTTGACTCTGTTAAGTTGGACTTCCGGACGCCACCAGGCTTTGACCGGACCCGCAACGCCGAGATCGGCAACAAGGACATCAAGCTGAAGCACCTGGAGGAAGCCTTCACTTCAGAGCACTGGTTGGTCAGGATTTACAAGGTCAAAAAGCTGGAGAACAGGGACCGTGTGGAGCACAAGCTGCGAGGCACCGACACCACCAAGCAGAAGTACACCTCCAAAAAGGTAAGCTGGCCTCCACCACGACTCTGCAAGTCCAAGAAGCGTATACGGCATGATGAGAGCGGTTCAAAGCTTCTTTAGATCCAACTATGAAGCCTAAAACCAGTCTTATGATATTAGTCAACAGTTAGTGTGTAAAACATTAAGTAAAACATGTTTTACTGTTTTTATTTTTTTACCAACATGTAACTTTGTCCATCTTTATCTAAGTGTTTGTTTGTTTTTTTATCATATCATTGTTCTGTTTTATTTATTTTTATTTTTAAATGATTGATTTGATTCACCTCATTGCTGTCTTGAAACGTCTTATTTCTAGTTCTACCAGTCAAAAGTTTAGACATTTTTCTGAATTTCTACTCGTTTCTACATTGTCGAACCAAACTGAAAACATTCAAACAATGAAATAACACAGATGAAACTGGCTGTACCAGCCAACAGAGCCTCATTTATAATGGCCAAAAGTGCTTCTGTGTGGCTCCAACCTGTTGTTTTATTCCAGTCATGGTGTTTGTGCTGTAAAAGGTGCAGCTTCTTATCGAATGTAAAACAAAGAAGCTGAATTCTGGGATGAGGTCACCGTCCATTTTAGGCATTTTCATCATGGATATTTCAAACTAACTTTACATAATGTGTGCTACAACTATTATATACATAACTTTCAGGAAATTTTCAGAAAATCACACAGCTTGAGCTTTAATTCTGTCCACAATTTGTTTCTCACAGCATTTATTTAGACACTGTTTAGACTTTATGGACAGCTAATCTTCCACATACAGCCTTGATCTCCTGTTTAAAGTGTAATGTTTCTCTCTGTAGACAGCCAAGAGGAAGCGGGGATATGTCAAGAACAAGCTTTCCCTCAAGAAGGGCAAGAAACTGACCAAGAAATCTTTATAGGAAGTCCACCACCAACAGAGGCAGACTGTGGACGGGAGGGAGGAAGAAAATCTTACACACAGAACTCTCAACAATAACACGCAGCAGCAACAGTAAAATTTAAAAACATCCACCAATCAAGACGATTAAGGAACACCGGAGCTTCTCCAGACCCCTGTCATCCCGAGCGTCCTCACCTGGAGGCCCAGGCTGGAAATGTCATCATCACCCAGGAAACCACAGAAAGCGCTGAACCCCAGCTGACCTTTGACCTGATAAGTGGGGCCGAGGAGAAGAGACGGAGAACTGGAGATGTCTGCAAGTCCGAGATCCTCCCCACGCTGGTTTTAACCTGAGGAACTGTGACCTTTGACTCGCTTTTCTTTTGTACTTGAACGTGATGGGAGACGGAGAGCAAGAGAGATTAGCTGTCCTTCATCCAGGGACTCTGTTTGGGGCGGCTCTATGCATTGCATCAATCACACAGATATAGAAAATCAATCACTTCACTGTGTCTCAAATTCACCAGTAAAACCCTAAACTGGCTCCAACTGGGCATCTTCTTGGTGAGCATTCATCTGAACTCGTACTGCTGCGCTGACAGGACACATTCTTTGAGGAAAATTCTGGTTTGATGAAACCTGGCTCTTATTTTCATAGCTTACATCAGCTGTAACACTATGCTGACAGTGACATGATTAAAAAGAAGTCCAGCAGAAACATCCCATCAGACAGGTTGTAAACAAACCTCCAGGTTGGATCAAAGACAACTAAATGAACAATTACAGCCCACGTTGTTATTAACTTCCATTGTAGTTTATGGGGGAGTTTCCTCCGTCAACTTTAATTATCATACTCGACTTAATTGCGCCATTCTTCTCCACAATTAGTTATTTTTCCATAAACGTATTCTCTTTCAGTTTTAGCAACCATGTAAAGGATGTTGAAGGCTGAATGGTGTGGGACTACAAGAAGCAGATTTTTTTAAGAGTGCCAGAGACATCCTAACTTTCGTAAGGAGACTCCAAAAACACTAGAACCTACATTTCCCATAATGCAGCTGGATGGCTGATCGTAAAATCAGTGGCATTGCAGCTTTAAAGTCGTCTGTTTACAACCTTCTTGATCAGCTGACTTCTTGCTTCTTGGCTTTAATACAAATACGGCCACAACTATGAAAGTAAGCCAGGAATAAATCCGAATTATCCTTAAAGCTATGTGCACTATTATCTGTAGTGTCCGTACTTTACAGAGAGATGACCACGGTTGAGTTTAACATGAACATATCTCTATTGGGAAGCCATGCCAAGACATGAGGCCTACTTTTTATCACTTAAAAATGATTAATGAATGAATATGTGCTCACACAGTTGGACACAATCCATCTCAGTCTGTGAGTAAGTCTCACCAGTAACACTAGCAAACAGCGCTGCAAACTGCAGGTTTCCTGAACAACCAGGTCAGCCTGACGGTGAATTAGACTGAGCAGGATTGAGTGCCACTGTCATAAATCATTTGGGATTCACTACCACTTTAAAGTTAATGGAGACCATGTGCTTGCTTTTTGTTTTGTTAGCAGCTTATGCTAACAGGGGATGTGTGTCATGTCTGTCATTGTGACCATTAAAAAGCCATTTGAAGTGTAGCGCTCATTTGCAAACTAAAACAATGTGAAGGGAAAGCAGCAGCACAAACACCCAGCTGTTAGTCCACGCAGCCTGCTGTCAGAATGTGTCCCTGAGGCCTGATTCCCTTTCATCTCCTGTCACATGTCCCACTGCACTCTGTAGATACCAGACGGCTTCTCCCTCCACAGGTATAGAACCAGGATCAAACACTCTGCTCTCACTGCTCATTCCCTCGTGAATTTAGAAGAATGTCCTCTGAGCTGTCAGCAGCAGCAGCAGCAGGAGTTTGTGTGGTTTCAGAGGGTTACACCAACATTACATTCTAGTGGTTCATTTGAATTGGATGAATTCTCACTGGTTTCTAATTTGTTCCCTCTGTAAACCGAACCATCTATCATTTAATCCGCCTTATTCCATCTCTTTAAGATACTCACGTCCATCTTGCGTGGCCTGACTTGGATTCTGTTGTGAGGCTTATTCAGAAAACCAATGTCAGAGACTCCAGGTGGAAAGGACAGAAAAGGCCTTAAAATAAAAAATGAAAAAAATCATATCGTCTCCAGAGCTGCACAGTCAGCGGGTGTATTTATTACATGGACGACGGGGGCTGCGGTGATTAAAGCGAGTGCAGCATCCTATCACGTAATGCAAGGGTTTTATTTGGTTTTGATTTTTCCAAGTCAAAGGTTCTTCCATCAATTGTAATGATCTGGATGCAGGTGTGAGAATGAAACATGCCTTTTTGAATAAAGAGGTTGAAATAATGCTTGTGTTTCTATTTTTAGCAGTTTTTCAAAACAAATATGATCAAATTTAACAGTCAGGATGATCTGCTAATTTGCTCAAGATGCTAAGGTACGTTTAGCTTGTTCACCACTTAGTTTGTTAGCACACATCTTCATATCCACAACTTAATTCCAATTATGGCCTAAAGGTGTCCCTAGAGGAGGAAGCAATAGGGGCTCAACAACGCAATTGGGATACATCCACGGAGGAGCATGAGTGTCTGGGTATTTGGCAAACCATCCAGTAGACATCAGCACTTGTAGTGTGGCTACAAGTAGGGCCGACTGGTCAGCAGCAGAGACTGAGAGAGGTTGTTTCAATAGCCACAACTTTATATTCAGTCGATAGTCTTTGCTTAAAAACTAAGGGGCCATTGCTTAATTTCATTGTAAAGAAGGACAAAATGATGACACATCGTTCATCTTCACACACAGCTTTGTGACAGTGACACACACAATGAAAACAGAGCGTACAATACAGATGTTTTAATGTTTTATATATCAAATGTCACAGCAGTAATAACCATTCTCCAAAAATGAACAAAAACACACAAAAATCATAAAACTGCATTGACAAGAATGCATTGTTTCTACATGAACTGTTACAGCTCCGTTGTCGAAGCTAGAATATATTCATACATTCAGCGCATGACTGAATGTATTAAAAACTCTACAATGAGCACTTCCACAATGCTAGCAGACACAGGTACAGATCCATCACTGATGCAAACAGATGAACGGGAGCTAAGGATTCCTAATCAGGGACTGAATGACCTTTTAACGGCTGTCTTTAAATGGTGACTGATGAGAGGTTGTTGAAAGGCAGTGAGAACAGGAAAGCTCTGACAGGTTTGGATTTCAGACGTCAAACGTAACAAACAAAAACATGCGGCATGGTTCTGTTAATTGAAGGTAGCTAATTACAATCACCCAGCTTACTGACAACTGGTCAGTGTAGAATTAGCCCACATACTGGAAAATTGGTTCATTTCTAATAGATAGTAAATCTGGTGTTGCAGTTTCCAATTATCAGCTGCTATTTACTTTTCATGTCAACGTGTGACACAAAAAATGGCTCAAGCACCACACAGCTAGTTTCTTATGTTTGGCCCAATAACAAAAATATACATTTTAAGTTACTGTTACTAAAATGTAGCAGTGAATGGAAATCAAGTTCAGGTAACTTTGTGTAGGATAATGTATGAAAATATTTTCTTTAGTATCAAAAACACAGCTGTTTAATACTAAAGAAAACACCTACTTTATATTCTTTGGGATCTGATTTGCTGCCTCAGTGCAGAGCTGAATCCATATAAAATTAATATGCTACTCCAGCTGTGATTTTGATTACAGTTATAACAAAAATAATTAACTAAAGCTGCATTAAGTGAAACATTCCAGGCAAAGTAACACAGCTGGAGTTAAAACTGATTTAGTGACAGAAAAAGACTTTCCAGGTTCTCTGCATGCTGCTGTCTGAACTCTTGACGCTTGACTGAAGACGGTTTTGTCAAAGACCCACCACTCTGTTGGGATAAATAAGTGAGCTGTGCTTTTCTGTAATCTGCACAGTGACGGGTCTTTCTCTACAGAAACAATCATGTACATGTTCCAACATTAGCTTAAACAAGTGAAGTGTAGAACTGTTCACACCGTCAACAAGAAACTTTACAAGTCAAAAATTCAGTTCAGACCAGTCAGAAAGTAACAGTCTTTACTGGCAGCTTCTAACTGAATCCACATTTACAAATTTAAACCTGACTTTACACAAACTATTTGATCCCAATAGTAAATGATATCCTGATTCACACTTATGAGCTTAATGAGCACCAAATGTTTAAAGAAGTTAAACTCAGACCTGTGTGGACCTTCTTCACAGCCGACGTTGTAGCTCTTGATAGCAAGAAAAACGTGGCGCTGGTAACATCCACAGCAGCAGTCTATGTAGGTTAGCTGGTTTTAGTGCCCTGTTGTTGTGCATGCTGACTCACCGTCATGGCTTAAAGGGACACTGACTTGAACTGAGCCGGGTGGATGTTACGTGCCTCACCTGTGCTTTTCCTGCTTTGACGAATCAAAACATCTGCTGTAATAAAGATCTATTCAGAGAAGAGTCCTGACTCACAGCTTAATGATGGTAACAGAACTGTTACACAGTGATGTGTCTGTTCGCTCACAGTCAATCGTGAGTTCAATCTGCGGCTTGGAGGGAGCACATTAACCAACACACTAAACATTCATTGCACACAATCAGCATTAATTAGCTGCCGCTGACAGCATCGACTAATCATTTTAACTACCAGCTGTAAATGAGAAGCTGCTAACATTACCTCCATGTTTTCATCATCAGTCTTTGCTAACACAATAACCAGGAGGGACAAAAGGCTCCACGAGCATCTTAATGAATCCAGGTATTTTTGCTAAATTGATTTACATTGGAAGTGAAATACAGGCCATGTAATCAATACATAGTCAGGTTTGAATGTCATGGTTAATTATGAATATTACCAAGCAACATCAAATATACGCTTCAAGTTAATAACTGCATGATGCAAAAAGTTACTGCATTTGATTCTGTTGACATGGAAACAGGACAGGTTTGTGATAATGTCGGTACCATCTTATTTAGCTTGATGTGGTACGTTGGTTCTTCCTCGGCTCACTTAGCCTTTGCCATTTCTGTTTGGCAGTCTATCATTTTGCAGATTTCTGAGTGTCCTTGAATGCACCGAGTGGAGTTGAAAATCCTCCCTATAGTTCTAATTAACAAAACTTAGAAGCAAAATAACTGCCAGTTGCGTTGTCATAAAGTAGTAAAATGAATGGAACAGTCTGAAATATTTGCAGTGACGAGGCGAAGACATGCAAAAATACTGGCACTGCCCCTTTAGAAGGACGGACAGGCGGCTCCATGTCTGGTAGCTATGACCCCTGTTATTATTTGTCAAATTCTGTGAAATGTTCCCTCTAACAGTCACATGTCACTTTGATTCCTTTCCATCCCAGGGGTTCATGGCAGTCTCGTACTTCACCTGCACCATTTAGTCGTCCTCTTCCTCCTCATCCCCTCCAAACGACAGGAGGCTGTTGTTTTTTATTTTCTTGCCAGACTTCCCCTCCCTCTTCTCCTCCTCCTCCTTCTCTCCTCCCTCGTTCTTCTTCTTTTTGCTGGAACTGGCAGTGATGCCCTGAAATTTGTCTGAGGAGGAGCGCTTGGCCGGTTTCTTGAAAAGGATTTTACCGTCAGGAGGAGCTTCATCACCTGTGGACAAGATGGAGGTTTGTGTGGAATACAGACGTAAGTTTGTACAAAGGCAGCATGGCGAGTCAGTCATTTAACTGGACGCCAACATCCTCCACATCAAGTGACATCATTTCATATTCTTACCTTTCTCTGCACCACCTCCAGCACGCTTGTCATCCTTGATCTTTTTCACCTCCTCTGCAGTCAGGTCTCCACCTTTTAGGACAACAACTTGAGGTAGCTCGTCCTCTTTATCACTCCCACTGTCATCATCCAGCGTCGGCATCTCCTGGCGCTGTGAAGAGCGATATGAAACACACACACTCAACCTTTGGGACAATTAGCTGTTTAGAAATGTCTCATTAATCCCAGAAGAAAGGAGGATTTGAGGAACGGTAATTTTTAGGGGTTTTAATAAGTGTCACGATCCGTTGTGGAGGTTGTCATGTTTTAGTGGTGCTGAACTATCTGAACATAACACACACCTCGCATCACTAGGGATGAGCTGTGTCACTTAGATTTTTATAAATGCCAGGAGAACAACACAAAATGAGAACGCTAACTTGTGCTCATCTTCAAACATTACATGAGACCCGTGTGTAGCAGCAGTAACTTTGATTAAAATACACATTTGCTTCAGCATCCGTTTAAGTGTTCTGTTCACTTGGGAAAGGTCGTTGACTTGTCTTGTAACAGTTTCTTTTTCTATGTACGACATGATATGCAAATTACAAATCAATTACTTTAATACTGAAGAAAACTTAAAAACTTGATAATTATAAGTTCTGATGGGATTTTTCCTAAAACTTTAGAACAGATTTATTGACATTTGTTTTTTGCAATGGAAACAGACATGAGATAATGAAATCTTATTAAAGTGTAAACAACACTTAATGTAAAAACAGTCAAATCTGCTTACCTGTCTCTGTCCAGACGGATGCTTCATATTGATCTTAACAGTCTAATGAGTCTGATTCAGACACAAAAACTGGGAACTAAGCGATTTAAGGAAATTTCTAATCGCAATTTTTCTAACAGACATTGCAATTTCGTTTGTCATTTCAAAGCACTTTGGATGAGTAAAGGGAAAGACACAGCCTTCAGAGTTAAAGTCTTGGCTGACAAGTTTTGTTTTGGTCAGTCATTTTGACCTTGATTTTCCCTCATGTTTAAATCGAATATAGCTCCAGTGCTTTAGTTAAAACACTCATGTGGCTTATTGGACAGAACATGAGCTTGTAAAAGAAGATAATAAAAAGGGCAACACGGGCTAAATGCACCGAGCGGCTACACCTTGGTAGGTTCTAGTGAAAGGCAAGAAATTAAACCATTGTCATTTTTTCAAGCCATGATTGAGTTCTGCATTCAAAGTTTATTAGATCTGAAATGTCACAGAGCATAATCACAGGATATCATCAAAGCATGACTGTCACACAAGCAGGAACCAGTCGTTTAAACCCTGGAGCCGGACACGCTGCAAAGTCTACAGAACAGTAATTGTAACTGTATTTCGAAAATTGATGATTTCTGTTTTTAGTCTTACTAACACGCCCTCTTGTTTGTATAACACAATTTATAAGTGTTGTTTTTTTTTGTGGGTGGAAACTGCATCAGTGGTTCAAACACAGAGACAGATGTAATTCCAGTGTAAATACTACGGACAATTCCTGACAAAGTGCTCATCTATATAACTGGAAACAGTCAGTACCTGCACATTATCAGGAAATTACGAGACACGTTGGTCTAAACTGAGATACAGGGTGTTCACGGTTGTCGTTGTGAAAGCAATGCGCGTCCGTTCATAGATGGCAGATGTGGAGGTTAAATGAGCTAGCGTGTTCCGGCTCCGCAGCTACTAGCTTAAACGGCTAACAGAGCTTCACAGAGCGTTACCTTAGTGTCAATATTGGGTCCTTCTTTGTACCCAGCATCACTTTTAAACTTCTTCAGAAAGGACGGTTCCGCCGGTTTCACCCACGCCACGCCACTGGCCTTATTTTTATTCATTTCAAAAAAAGCAATACGAGACAAGGAGCCAAAAAAATCCAGGCCTTAACAGATTTTCGAACAGGACGGGGCTTCACCAAAACACAACGCACGTCATTGAGATGTGCCGCGGCGCTCCACGTGACTTTGCCAGCTGCTATGATTGGTGGATCGTAAATTGTTGTCAAGGTAACGTAGATACGACCGGAACTTGTTTCTTTTCAAAATAAAATTCAAACAAAATCCGCGTGCTTGTTACCAGGTAGTCAATATTTGTAAAACGCTGAAAATGCCAGAATCATATTGCCATGGTAGTTCAGGCCACCAGTAGGGATTAATGTGGGTTTTGGCCAGGCAACAAGTACTTCAAGCAGTTATTGATCCTCATGTACATTCCGGTATAAACAGCTTTACAGCGCACACAGTGACAACAAGTGTTTAGCTGCATAAATAGATTGGTTAACAACTTGAGTTTTAGAAGCTACTGAGGCTGCTGTAATATGCGCACGGCGCAAACTCGACCAAATAGGATTTTGCTTTGAAATTTAAATCCACCGGTGCATATCCTTTAACGTACCCTTGACACTGCTGTCACTGAGGATCGTAACACCGGAGCGGTCGCTTAAAAGTGTCACGACGTCTTCAGAAATGTTTTCGGGAACTTTCTACGCGTTGTTAGCGGGTTTCCTGGGTGCCGCTGCCTCGTTGTCCGCAAAGCTGTCGCTGGGTGCGGACTATCTGAGAGAGATGTGTGAGTCCGGGATGAGCGGCCGGACGGAAGCAGCCGCTGGACCCTCCGCCTGTGACTGGGTGACTAGTCTGACTAACTCACACCTCTGTCTGTCTGTCTGGTCATTTCTCCAAGCTTTGTGTTCTTTTAAAAATATTTGGAATGCCCGTGGTTGGCATGGTTACACTGAGGAGCTAACAGGTAGCATGGATTCGGGTTACAGCGCTAACAACTGTTTCTACTCAAATGATCCACGAGTTATTTTAGTCTTTGTTGTCAATGTATTTGCACAATCCCCAAAGATTGCAAAAGTTCACATACACTTGTAAAAACCACGTGTGTCATGGTAGTCTTGAGTTTCCAACGAGTCCGAGCATCCTTAAAGTTC